GTTATTATGAAAAGAATGGGATTTTAATGAGAAAATGGCGACCGCCCGATGTCCCTGCTGAAGAGGAGTGGACTGTTAATCACCAAATTGTGGTCCCTAAATCATATCGCCAGGAAATTTTAAACTTGGCTCATGAAACACCCATAGCAGGTCATTTAGGTGTTAATAAAACCTACCATAAAATTCTCAATCATTTTTATTGGCCTGGCCTTAAAGCAGATGTATCTAGGTACTGTAAATCTTGTCATACTTGTCAGATGGTTGGAAAACCTAACCAGACTATACCTAAAGCTCATTTACAGCCTATTCCTGTATTTGATGAACCTTTTAGTAGAGTTATTATTGACTGAGTAGGTCCATTACCAAAAACTAAATCAGGTTCTCAGTACTTATTAACTATTATGTGTGCTTCTACGCGCTTCCCTGAAGCTATTCCTTTCAGAAATATTAAAGCCAAAACTATTGTCAAGGCTCTTGTGAAATTTTTCACTTTTGTTGGTTTACCTAAATCAGTACAGTCTGATCAAGGGTCAAACTTTATGTCTGGTATTTTCCAGCAGGTCATGCACGAGTTAGGAATCACTCAATAAACGTCTTCAGCCTATCACCCTGAAAGTCAAGGTGCATTAGAAAGATTTCACCAGACTCTGAAAAATATGATAAGGTCATATTGTTTTGACACTGAAAAAGACTGGGATGAAGGCATCTATTTATTGTTATTTGCTGTAAGAGAATCTGTTCAGGAATCTCTTGGCTTTAGCCCTTTTAAATTAGTATTTGGTCACACTGTCCGAGGACCTTTAAAACTTCTTAAAGAGAATTTCCTGTCTGAAGATGACATATCTTTAAATTTGCTTCAGTATGTATCAGATTTTCGAAATATGTTGACTAATGCATGTGAGTTGGCTAGGCTTAATTTAAAATCAACACAAAGTAAAATGAAATCAAGGTATGATAAGAATGCTCATGAAAGAAGTTTTAGCACTGGTGATAGAGTACTTGCTCTTTTACCTATACCTGGAAAACCATTACAGGCAAGATACTTTGGTCCTTATACTATTGAAAAGAAAATCAGTGACCTTAATTATATTATTAATACTCCTGGGAGGCGAAAGCAAAACCAAATGTGTCACATAAATATGTTAAAAGAATATTTTGACAGAGATAGAAAATTAGTAAACCTATATCTTTTGTAAACTCTGTTCCACAAAATCAATGTTCAGTTGAATCTTATAGTTATGAAAATTTTGAAAAGTCTGATCCTAGTTCAGTAAAGCTTGAAAACTCTGATATTCTGAAATATCTGGATGAAAAACTTGCTCACTTAGAACCGTTGAAACGAGATAAACTGAAACAGCTTATTTATGAATATGAACATTTATTTCCTGATATTCCTACACGGACTGATAAAATACATCGTGACGTCATTCTTGAAAACTCTGAATCAATAAAACATCATCCATATAGAATGGTTCCTGTAAAACAAAAGTACCTAAGACAAGAAGTTCAGTATTTATTGGATAATGACTTTATTGAACCAAGTCAAAGCAGTTACAGCTCTCCATGTATTCTTGTACCGAAATCAAATGGAACATATAGAATGTGTACAGATTATCGTAAAGTGAACTCTGTAACAAAAACTGATTCATTTCCTATACCAAGAATTGATGACTGTATTGACAAATTGGAAAAGCAAAGTATGTAACAAAGTTTGATCTTCTAAAAGGATTCTGGCAAGTTCCACTTACTGATAGAGCTAAAGAAATATCAGCCTTTGTAACACCAGACAGCTTATATCAATATAAAGTCATGCCCTTTGGTATGAAAAACTCACCAGCATTTTTTCAGAGGCGTATAAACGTGGTAATATCTGGTCTACACGGATGTGACGCATACATTGATGACGCAATCATCTACTCTGATGAATGGGAGGAACATCTTAAAACTATAAGAGCTTTCTTCTACCGACTTAGCGATGCTAAATTGACAGTTAATCTTGCAAAAAGTGAATTTTGTCATTCAATTTTAACATTTTTAGGACATGTAGTGGGACAGGGTAAAGTAAAACCAATAGAAGCTAAGGTCAAAGATATCTCTGAATTTCCTGTGCCTACTTGTAAAAGACAACTGATGCGATTTCTTGGTATGGCAGGGTATTATCGTAAATTTTGTAATAATTTTTCGGTTATTGCAGAACCATTGACAAATTTACTGAAGAAAAGAAACAAATTCATTTGGAATGACAAGTGTCAAATGGCGTTTGACAGCCTTAAAATAGATAAATACAGAATCCCTAAAGAAAGCCCAACACGGCAAAATTGAAAATGTTGCAGGCTCGGTTTGATTGAGCCTGTTCATGGACGGTACTGGAAAGTGCATACTTAAGAGTGCACCAGTTCTCTTGGCACCAGATTTTAATAAAAACTTTAAGTTAGCTGTAGATGCTAGTGACATAGGTGCTGGAAGTGTATTGATCCAAGAAGACAACAATGGTGTTGACCATCCTGTTTGTTACTTTTCTAAAAAGTTTAATGAACATCAGAAAAATTACTCTACTATAGAGAAAGAGTGCCTTGCTCTTATTCTTGCTATTCAGCATTTTGAAGTTTATCTAACTTCTTCAAAGTTGCTTGTTGTTGTCTTTAGTGATCACAATCCCCTCACTTTCTTGCATTAACTTAAAAACAAAAATCAAAGGTTGTTGAGGTGGGGCTTGTTTTTGCAAGAATATAGTCTTGACATTAAACACATTAAAGGGAAAGATAATTTGATCCCTGGTGCACTTTCACGTGTCTAAAACTGTTATTTTTAAGTATTTTAAATTTAACATCTATATGATATGATTGATTATTTTTACTTCGTTGCTTGCTATTGTTTATAATACACATATATATGATTTTATGTATAAAATTGTTTAACATTTCTCCTACGTTATTCGTAAGTTACATTGTTTGGATTTATGTAAGAAAAATATTCATTTCATTCATATTTCTTTTTCTTGAAGAGGGGAAGTGTTATGTATACAACATATTACATGTATATAATTAATATCTGACCAGTTGGTATTTCCAATATTATCATTGTTCTATTTTTAGAACATAAACTACATGTATGTACTAGAACTTTCTTAACTGTTGCAGAAAACTCATGCATCATCTATTTAGATAGAAATTTCCGGAATGTTCTTTATTGTTGAAGTTTCTAGATTATGATTACTGTAGAAAATGGAAGACTATTCTGGAAACTTCTTAGCTTAATATATATAGGAGACATTTTTCATTCGTATCATCTTTCAAGTCATCAGTTACCTTTTAAGTCATCAGTTACCTTTTAAGTCATCAATATATTTGGAGTATTATTTAACTTGGATATTAAGTGATTTATTGGAGCTTGGATTATTTTAAAATAGTAAAAAAATATTCCTGTGGATTTTATTGTGGGAATTTATTCTAAAGTAGATTTTACTTGGATTTAACTGTGCTTATCAAAGAAGGATCATTCCAGGATCAAACATTTGAAATTTACATTTTTATTTGGACTTCAGGTATTTGTACACATAATTTGTTATTTTGATTTTTCTTTAATAATTTTTCTGTAATAAATTTGTTATTGTTACAATTTTGTTGCTGGCTTTTCTTTCTCGTTTCGCTTGGCTCGTAACACTTTACACTTCCATTTTACCAAGAATTCAAGATATTATCATGTTACCAACAAAGGGAATAACAGCCAGATTTTTCACAGTAAAACATGCAAGCTAGTTGACCATTCAAATCAAAGCATTGTGCATAATCCAATAAATTGTGAGCAGCCTTTACTGTAGCCTAACCTCTTTAAGTAATATGTCACACTGCGTACAGTAATTTTGATTCCTTAGATGAACTAGAAATGTGTCAAGAGGACACGGGTGACTCATACTCCACTGTTTTGCCAATCTACTGACTCTAGGTCAAATATTTTTTTGGTGTACATGCAACACAAGTTGAAAATTGAAAATCTTTTTACTAAGTCAAGTGCAAAAACTCTACAAATAAATCCACAAGCAAACCCAAATCAAGGTGCATAGCTCACATGGTGACCAGCATTCTTGTAAATTATCAGTACTACAAGTCAAATACTTTTGAGCTTTGCATGAACAAGTTGACAATTGCAAATTTATACTGTGTCAAAGGCAATAACTGAGAAAAATCCACAGGCAAACCCCAGGACTTTGTTCACAACTACACATGCTGACTAACATTCCTGTAAATTTTCATGACTCTTGGTCAAATACTTTGTGCTATGTGTGACACAACATGAGAATAGACCGACAAGTGTAAATCTAAATGCCCAATCCATAAAGTGGGGCACAATAAAACTTTAAAATTGATAATGAAGTTTAAAGTTTATCCTACACATTGTAGTTTGGGTGTTTTTGAAATAAAATTTCATCAAAAGATAAAATTTCAACACAGGCTTTTACATTTATACGAAACAAGATGATAAATACATGTTTTGATCTACAAAAGCAAACCATCTAAGTTAAGTTTTTTGCAAAGTTCACATGCTGTAATTTAATAGCATTGCAATGTTTTAATTGGTTAAATTTTGACTTAAATTATAAACAGACTTGTTCACAGTTTGCACGCAGATCCTTTCATTGCAAGTAGAACAGCTGTGCACTTGGTAAGTTTTTTTTATATCCTGCAATCAATGGTGCACAATATATCATAGAAAATTATATCTATAAAAAGAGACTCAGTAATCTGGTTATGAAGATTTGTGACAGGTTATATAAACAGCTGATTGGATATATAACCCAAGCCCCTAAGTCAGGGTTGTGTTGTAAACAACCGTTAATTATTATACGTTTTTATCACCTGTCAGGAATTTTAATAACAAATTTATAAAACAACAAACTTCCTCCTTTTTTTTGAGAAAAAAATAGATTTCTTAGAAAATTAACGAATGTATGATACAGCAAGCATCATTTCAGGGGAATAAAGAGAGATTTCTTTATATAACACTATATAAACATCACAATTATCCAAAGAAAAGCGACGTTACAAATGTGAAGTATATATAAAATCTATATAAACGTCACGATTATTCAATGAAAAGATGTTACAAACGTGCAGTATTATAAAAAGTAAGTTCTAACTGCATCAAGTTGTCCTGCTCAAAACATGTTTAAGGGTGTGGTAACAGTGGTGTTTATATTTGCGTCAAGTGAAACAAAACAACTGTTAGGTCACAGTTACCTTGTCGAAACTTCAAATTTTACTTATATGCATATTCAAAATTTTAATAGCTGTTGACAAATATGTTCATGTTTAAGACCCGTTTTGTGTAGGAAAGTAGCTTTAAAAAGTTCGTATATCATTATGCATTATCATTATGCAATTTATAATTTATTTTTTTTTTCAACTTGATTTGTTTATACACAGCAAACTTAGTTTTTTTCCATCATGGAAGTGCATTAAAGACACTACATTTTCTCTAAACATTCAAAACATCAAGTTTTCCAGGAACCTTTTCTTATTTAATTTTTCTGTGAACTGTTGTTCAATTGCACACTTTTCATTAATGTCCAGACATGTTTTTCTGAAATTTTAGCATTTTATTAGTCCTGTGTACACCATCTGTCAAAGGATTCTCCTCCCTCTTTTTTCCTTCTTTTCGTTCCCTGACTGCCTCATTACCACAAACTGAAAATCAGTAGAGAATGTATTTATAATCCTTTGCTGCTGAATTATTCTCTGTTTTGTTTTGTTTGCTAACCAACAAAATTTTAAAATTCAAATTCCAAATGACAACATTAATCTAGTTTAAATTCCTGTTTAAGTTCAAAATTAAGACAAAAGGACCATGATGTCCCTGAAGTCGCTCACCTGTATATTGGCCCCAGAGCGGGTCCAGTTTAAGCCCCGGGGCTTTTATTTGAACAAACTTGGTAGACACCCATTAGAAGATGTTTCATGTTAAATATCTAAGCTATAGGTCTTTGAGTATTTTAAAAGAAGAAGTTTTTACTACACACATAATTATAATGAAAAACAATGACCCCCCCCCCCTGCGGGTCTTATTTTTACCCCAGGGTTTTTATTGAACAAACTTGGTAGACACTCACTCAATGGTGTTTCATGATTAGTATCTAAACTCTAGCTCTTTATGTTTTTTAAAATAAAGGATTTTTTTTAGATTTACTTTACACATATAAAAGGAAAATCAATGATTTTCCCCCCTGCAGGGCCAATTGTAACCCAAGGGCTTTTATTTGAACAAACTTGGTAGACACCCGTAAGAAGATGTTTCATGCTCTAAGCTCTAGTTCGTTGGGTTTTTTTAAAAGAAGATTTTTTAAGTTTTTACTATATACATATACTTAAGAACAATGAGACCCCTGGGACAGGGCCAGTTTTGACCCCAGGGCTTTTATTTGAACAAACTTTGTAGACACTTACTAGAAGATGTTTCATGCTTAATATCTAAACTTTAGCTATTTGGGTTTTTTCAAAGAAGATTTTTAAGTTTTTACTCTATACACATATAAGGAAAATCAATGTCCCTCAGTGCGGGGCCAATTTTACCCCAAGGGCTTTTATTTGAACAAGCTTTGTAAACACTCACTAGTAGAAGTTTCATACTTAATATCTAAACTCTACCTATTTGGTTTTTTTCAAAGCAGATTTTTTAAGTTTTTGCTATACGCATATAAGGAAAAACAATGACCCCCCGGGTGAGGCCAATTTTGACCCAAGGGCATTTATTTAAACGAACTTTGTAGACACTCTCTAGAACATGTTTCATGCTAAATATCTTAGCTCTAGCTATTTGTTGTTTTTTTTTAAAGAAGATTTTTTAAGGTTTTACTATATGCATATATAGGAAAATCAATGACCCCCTTGGGCGTGGCCAATTTTGACCCCAGGGATTTTATTCAATCAAACTTAGTAGTTACTCACTAGAAGATGTTTCATGCCAAATATCTTAGCTCTAGCTCTTTGGGTTTTTAAAAGAAGTTATTAAAATTTTTCTTTCGGTTGCCATGGCAACAAGAGTTCTGCATGGAATTAAATTCTTTGAACAATTTTTTAAAGGGGACCACCAAAGAAACATTCCTGTGAAGTTAAGATGAAATTTGCTTAGCGGTTTATGAGGAGATATCATTCAAAGTTAATGTTTACGGATGACCGACGGCCGAATATGTATTAAAAGTGCTTAATAAACACAATTACAAAAATGTTTTTTCAATGGTGTATGTAACTGACAAGTTTAATTTACTAAATGATAAAATTATCTGTTAGCTGAATAAAACTAAACTCTGGTACTGAATGGACAGTTTTGATTCGATAAGACTGTGCTTTAGCTCATTTTAGTCTAGAACCATACTGACTGGCATGTAATTGACGCAGCTCATAATACAAACCAGACCTTGATTTTGTAGGGTTTTTTCCCCAGGATTTTGGAAATATGACCCATACCAATGGAATTGAGAATTTCAATGATGTTTAGTTAAACATTGAGAAAAAATCATGACATAAATTTTGCAAAGATTAAATGAATGCAAAAAATCAATGTCTAAAATGGGTTGGCATCTTCAAACATTAAAGCATCGTAACAGTGAAGAAGCCCTTACTTTGAAAGATTTTAGAATTTTTTATTCAATATTTTTATTTTTCAGTTGGGATTTTTTTGTTGTTGATTGAGAAAATAATATAATTTTCTCAATTGGGAATATAACCTATTATCAACTATGAAATAAGCAAAAAAAAAAAAAAAGATTTATGTATGCTGGACAAAATTAAATGCTGAAGATAAATAACACAAATTGGATGCGAATCAAATAGTTTACAAGTTTACAATAAATATCTATAATAAAGCTATGATAAAGAAAATACATTTACCACTGTGATCATCATCAAAAGTATATTCATCCTCAACATCTTCAGTCTCATTATCTTCAGCCTCAACATCTTCAGTCTCAACATCGGCTGTAAAACAAAGTACAGATGGTCAGATGGCACATCACTACTCAAAAGTTCACATGCTGATGAATATGTTTATTCAGACTTATCTGTCTGGCAGAAATATTTTTTCTAAGTTATATGTGACACTAAAACACTGAATGCCAATGAACAAAGGCTAACAAATATACTTCCTTCCATTGCATGATCAGGCAATGATGGAATAAAGCTTCACTGCAGGGAAAATTCTGAGGTGAGCTTTTGTGGGCAACTTTAGTCCATCTGCATGTGAATAAAATTATATGCAAACATACTGACCTTTCAAAAGCATATTTGCACATACATATACAGCAACTTTAAATGAACAAGAATTCATGATTTTAATAGAATGGGTTATGGTCATACCCTAATTAATTGTTCATTTTTATTGGATAAAATAAAGGTTGAAAAAAAAACATGGTTTGGGTTGGGAGTGTTAGCACCAGTGTAAATGAGCTACTTATTAGATGAGAAAAAGTTGCTGTGTTTTATTGAATATTTCTTTTAGTGTTTCAACACTATTGTTTCTTCAAGCCTAACAGCAATCAGAACGTCCTTGGCTATTATCTATAATAACCTCGGAAACAATATTGATTGAAAGTAGTTCTACCTCGTGATTTTAGATGTAATCAGAAACAGAGTTTGCAATGTAAAACATTTATTGTATATATTTGACATCCAAAGGAAAAAAGTATCTTTCAATGTAACTATGATTAAAAATATGTCTGACAACACTTTTTAATTAAACAATGCCCAGTCATGTACAATTTTAAACAAATCCGACTTAATGTCAACAGGTTTACATTTTGTACTTTCGGTTTCTACAACAATAATAATAAATATATAAATAATGTATTGAATGCTTTTATATCTATGAATTCACTTATTTGAGGTGGACATTTACTTCATATATTGGAAATAAACTTGTCAACAACTCCCAGCATTAAATAACTATTTGTTTACATGTTTAGTTTCTAAGTGTAGGTTAGACCGACATACCGTATCAGTTCTGTGTATTCCCACTATTGTGTTCAAGGTCCTTGTCTGAACTGACAGAAAGGGCCAAAATGTTGCGATTGGGTTAACAAGTGATAGAGATTTGATTGTAAATTGTTCAAATTTTGAGATCATTGATTTGAATTGATTTGAATTTTCATTTGTATATAATGTGGTATTTTGCAAGTATATAGCTGAATGTTATCATTCATTAACATAAATGTGTAGAAATCTATTATTAGCACCCTAACCTTAACCCCTAACTCAATCCAAAGGAAGAATACCATGCACGTTATCTTCCTACCAAATATTAAAGATATATGTCAGTTAATAAAGGCTGTGCCGGCAAAAGATTAAAAACTCTATTTTTAGCAATGATGACCATGACCCAACTGACCCCTAACTGACCCCTAACTCAGTCTTAAGGAACTTCTGAAAACCATGCAAGTTATCATCGTACCAAATACGAAAAACATGTGTAAAAATATATATGTTACCATTTTCAGTGTGATCATCAGAAGAAGTATTGTTTTCATCTTCAACTTCAGCCTTATCATCAGCTATAAAACAATGTTTCAACTATTTATCAAAGCAGTAACGCTATCTTCATTGTAGTAAAGTACCATTAGCTTCATTTACCATAATGATCAAGGGCTCTAGACACACATCTTACAATATAAGGACTTTCACTACAGAATGTATGTTACTAAGTTAAAGGCAAAACATTTACTCACAAAAAAATCACCTTTTCATTTTACAAGTGATCAAAAGGCACTTTTGACCAGCTCTGACCATAAAAATAAAATTTTGGTGTGAGGAATTGACCAAAATATTGCAGTTAAAAGTCACTAAAGGTTCCCATTTTATGCTCAAATGACAAGTGCTCAGAAATCCTTCTTCAGAGTTTTGTTGCTCCCTTGCAGGCGACTTATTTACACACTTCACAGCAGGATTTTGGCTACATTTGTGTTTCTCCATGAAAACCAAAATATTCACTACATTTTAATGTAGCAAAATGAATGCTCAGAAAGATCAACAGAGTGACTATAAATGACAAACTATGTTGTCAAACAAGTTATATATCACATATTATATGTTGTGAAACCTTACAAACTTTGGTGCTCCCTTGCAATCAATTAATGTACACACTTTCAGTGACAACAGGATTTTGGCTATGTGTGTGTTACTCCATAAAAAACAAATTATTCACTACATCTTATCATAACAAAGTAAATGCCCTAAATTATTAAAGGAGAGACAACAAACCCCAAAATGGGTTGTCAAACAGGATAAAGTGTTAATATGTTGCTAAAATTGACAAATTTTGTTGCTCTCTTGCAGTTGACAAATTTATACACTTCCTACAACAACAGGACTTTGGCTACACACAACACGCAAGCTAAAATCTTGGTTTCAAGTCAAATAAATTTCCAAATTTCATGTCACATTAAATGGTCTTGCTAATTTACAATTAAAAATTAATGTGAAGGAAAACTATTGAGCCCCCCCCCCCCCCAAAAAAATCAAACTTAAGCAGTAATCACTCGACCGAGACAGTGGCCAAATCAATGAAACAACAGAACAGGACTTATGAGGTTGGCATAAAAACATGTAGGGTACCACGAAAACCCAGGAAAGATCAGAATACCTGAACCAAAATTTATTTTATACTCAAAAGATAACAGTGTAATTGCTAAGAAAACGTCATTTGATAATTAGTCCATAATACACATAATTCTATGATTCAGTATTATAATATTGATTTTGAAGAAACAGACAAGAGAAAATAATGCATACCAAAATGCTGAGCCTCTAAAATTGTAAATGAATCTGTGGCCACAAGACAATGATACTTCTCGTCTTTGGCCCTCATCTGCAGACACAGTTTCTCCTGCATAATGCAAGACAAAATCACCTTTATTTCTATTCATCAATGTTTTGACACCTCTTCCTGCAAGATTTATTTTCAAAGTTATTAATACAAATTGGTTCTAATAAGCCTGCTATGATAAACATTTTTAACAGGTGAGCTGAGATCAGGGTAGGAATCACTAGCAAGGTTTTGTTATAACCCTGGTAAGAAAGCAAGTTGTTTTTTTTGTTTCATTTTATTCAATCATTAAATAATATCAATGTTTAATATCTACCTTGTTAACATCACAAATCACGTTACTGATCATTTTGAAAAGTAAATGCCTACAGGTGAATAGATTTGGAAGAGAGTGTGGTTACTTTGCCCCAGGAAAGACAAATCACACCAGAAGATATCAAGAGGGCCATGATGGCCCTGAAAATTGCTCACCTGTATATAGGCCCCCGGGGCGGGGTCAATTTTAACCAAGGGGCATTTAGTTGAACAAACTTGGTAGACACCTATTTGAAGAATGATGTTTCATGATAAATATCTAAGCTCTATGAAGATTTTATAAGTTTTTACTATACACATATCGGAAAAAACAATGACCCCCTCTAAGTGGGGCCAATTTTGTCCTCAGGGCTTTTGTTTGAACAAACTTGTTAGAAACTCACTAGAAAATAATTAAGGCTTAATATCTAAACTCTAGCTCTTTGGGTTTTTTTAACAGAAGCTTTTTAAGTTTTTACTATACATATAAGGAAAATCAATGATCACGGGGCAGGGACAATTTTAACCCCAGGGCCCTTATTTGAACAAATATGGTAGACACCCATTAGAAGATATTTCATGCTAAATATCTTAGCTCTAGCTCTAAAGCTTTTTTTAAGAAGATTTTTTAAGTCTTTACTATATACATTAAAAAAAAAAAAACAATGACCCCCTGGTGCGGGCTAATTTTGTCCCCAGGGCTTTTATTTCAACAAATTTGGTAGACACCCACTAGAAGATGTTTAATGCTTAATAGCTAAGCTCTAGCTATTTGGGTTGTTTAAAAGAAAGTTTTTTTTTTGTTTTTACTATATACAAGATAGGAAAATCAATGACCCCCGAGCGGGCCAATTTTGACCCCAGGGCATTCATTTGAATAAACTTGGTAGACACTGACTAGATGATGTTTCATGCCAAATATTTAAGCTCTAGCTTTTAGAATATTTTTTTTTAATTTTTTCTTTCGGTTGCCATGGCAACCAAATTCTGCTTGGAATTAAATTTTTTGAACAATTTGTAAAGTTGACTGCCAAAGGAACATTCCTGTGAAGTTTAGATGAAATTGGCTTAGCGGTTTATGAGATGTCGTTTAAAGTAAAAGTTTACCGACGGACGACGGACGTATGGACGAACGCCGGGCGAAAATCGATCACAAAAGCTCACCATGTCACTGTGTGACAGGTGAGCTAAAAATGTGATTTAATTACTATATTAAACTCTATAAAAAACCAAGAGCCTCTGCTGGGCAGGGGCAACAATCAGCTTTTTTTTCCTTTCTCTAAAAGCATACAAATAAAGATAATAAATAAATCTTAAAGAAAAATGTTAAGTTTTCCTTTTTTAGATTTTAATAGGTCTGTCTTGTCACACTAGTTTTGACCAGGCATAAATCCTTTCCATAAATGAAAGACAATGTTAAAATATAATCAAAATTCAATGATTGGATGGTCCAGATCATCTCTAGGTAATATCTAAATTATTCCACATGTCTGTTTGGTCCTGAGTGTTGTTTTGCTTACAGATGAACCAAATATGTACATAAGTTACAATATTATTTGACGGTCAAGGACAATTTAAGCTCAAGGTCAGTTCAACCTTTCAGAAGGTCTTGTCTTGAATGTTGTTTTGTCTAATTATGAATATATTCCATTTCTAATTACAAAGTTACAGTCAATAAAAGCAAAAACAGTGAAAATTCAATAACTTAACCTTCAAAGTAAATGATATATAAAGCCAAGGTCAATTTGAGTTTGATATACATGAAGTTCTAATCCTAAAGAATGTTTTGTTATAATATGAAGTCAATCCAATCAATAACAACAAAGTTACAGCCAGTTACAGCAAAAATGAAAATTTCAATAATTTGACCTTCAAATTTTAATGTTGAATTCTGCTTAAGTCTGTGCTAGGGGGCGTGGACGGTAACTTGCACTTTCCAGTACCTTCCATGAACAGGCCGAATCAAACCGAGCCAGCAACATTTTACAATTTTGCTGTGTTGGGTTAGGGTTTCAAAGTTAAGATCATATATGAGTGAAGAACAAGGTCTGTCTGGTTAACTAACAGGGCTATCCTAAAAGATTATTATATTCAAGTTGAAGACAATCCATTTAAAAATTTCAAAGTTTTAGCCATTAAAAGCAAGAAGCAAAAAAATTTTAGACATTTGACCTTAGAGGTTTAGGTCATTTATGGATGAAGGTCAAGGTTTAAGTCTAGTCTACTGAAAGGTCTTGTCCTGAAAGTTCTTGTTGCCAAGTATAAAGGAAATACACCAAGAACTTAAACATATATGATCAAGATACACGTTTGCAGACAGCAACGGGAATGGGAACGGTAACAACGACAAGACTAAACAATACCTCTATTTTTTCTTTAAAAAAAAGCTAAAAAATGACCCAAGGTGGACCAATGTCTTTATCAATTTTTAAGGTGATGCTAGAAGCTCTGGGCATTATAGTTTCCACATGTTTTCATATATAATAATATATACACTTATTGGCCCTTGGGCACGCCCAATTTTGATTTCAGGATACTGAAGCCATCACAATAGGTTAAAAAAATTCTTTGAAACAATCAAGCTAAATGGGAATGTAAATCTTACTTTTAAATCATACAATTGGATGGCATAACCGTCTGGGTCAACATTTCTGTTTACCCACTCAAGGGCAATAGCCTGCTGTGTTTTACTTTCTGGTTATTTGAGATACATTATCTGCCAGAAAATATAAAATATTCAGTGGTAAAGCAGAAGATTTTTCATCATACTTAAAATGGTTTGCAATTTGCAAACCAACCAACAACATGTTGACGCAATTTTAGCAATTTTTGTTTAAAAGAGGTAAAATTACTAGTCTACTATTATCTAAAAGTTACCATTCAGTGAATGTAAACAAGTGTGTGTAAATGGTACATCTGTTATGATTGGTGTATGACCAAGATTGAAAAGTTGTTGTATATCACTATATTCGGATTTTCGATTTTTGAAAACATCAATTATTAATATTCAAGTAAATTTTCAGTCCCATGACCCAAGCCATTGGTTTAATCGAGGCTGGACTGTATTACCAATTGTAATATTTCCTCCTCATTTTGTTAATCTTTACAAAAATAAGTAATTTATTTCACAAAGCTTAAAAAATTTGCACAGTTGTAAAGGGGTGCATAAAAGACATTTTAAAAAGCATTTTACATATAAGGGCAATTGTAACTGACCAGACCTCATATATTTAAAATATATAATCTAATCTCTTTACAGGGCATACCCTTATACAACTTATTTATATATATCAATCTCACTGAAGTTCAGATCTACTTGTTTCTTTTATGCAGATTTGATGACATCTGTACATGTTTCTCCTTTATATGTTTGCCACTAAAGCCCCTTTCTTTCATGGTGTGTTAACCATTGTTAGCAAAGCGTCTGCATGCACAAACCGCTTGTTTACACAGACTGTACATGTCTAGATCCCAGATACCGTGACTGATTGTAGAACAGTTAAAAGTCAGACAGACAATGTGCCGATAGCGACAGAGAATGGGTAAGAAATTTATACATACACACAAATACCGGGAATAGATAAATTTTGGACACTCAAACAATAATGCAAACAGGATGGCCCTAATAATAGGATAAATAACTTATTGAAAAGACATCTAATTAAGGTAAATTATGACTGTACCATGGAAAACACGCTTTGCAAATTTCAATTCGAGAAATTATTGCGTCAAATATATATACAAGAGCTGTCGATAGGACAGCAACGCTCGACTATTCTTAGTGCTTGATAGTAAAAAAAGCCTTGATTAAAAGGTACAATTTTCTAAGTGAAGAAAAAGGCAAAACTTTTTCTTTAAATCCATATTACAGTTATAGGCCTTGGAGAGAGTCCTATTATGCTCTCAAAGAAGAGTATAAAACTTCAACATGTTTCAAAGCCTTATGTCAATGGACTTTGAAAATATTTGAGGTATTACAAAAACTTTAACGTAAATTCTAAGTCAAAAAATACATTCTGTCAAAATGCTTGATAGAGTCACCTCCTTCTGTTTACAGGTTGGGGTCATGATGGTGAACAAGTGTGCAAAGTTTCAAAGCCATATGTCAATGGACTTTGAAAATATTTGAGGTATTACAAAAACTTTAACATAATTGGTTACGCCGACGCAGACGCCGACGCTCGGGTGACTACAGTACTTATTTTTATCGAATAGTCGAGCTTATTAAAATATAGATGTCATGGCCCCAGATAAGTTGCATACATGTATAAATTTGCATGAAAATGAAACGTTCAAACATGTTAATGAACATGTTAATGAAATTTCAAGCTTAAAAGTACTCATAAAATTCAGTTTAAACACTGAACAGCATTTCTTTGTAGCAAGAGGGCCATGGTGGCCCTGAAATCGCTCATCTGTATAAAGCCCCCCGGATGGGGCCAAATTTATTCCAAGGGCTTTAAATGGAACAAACTTGTTAGACACTCAGTAGAAGGGCTTCATGCAAAATATCTTAGCTCTAGCTCTAGACGGTTTTTTAACCTTTTACCCAATGAGCATATTGTGAAAAATGGCCGTTTTCATTGAAAAGCCTCTTGTTACAAGTTCAAACTGCTATGAAACTATGAAAAATGCTTCAATACTGATAAAACTTGGCACAAATGTTGACTGGACCATAGCCTCTGTAACAGCATGCTCAATCGTAATTTCCTGTTAACGTGGCAATGGGGGACATCTCAAAATTGCAAAAAAATCACTATTTTGCATTGTTTTTTTTTTATCAAAACTGATTTCAAAGTGCTGCAACTTCTCAACGAATTGATATAGAGTACAGGGCTTTTCAGTGTTGGTTACTAGTTACCATAAGATCGACCTAAGGCAATTTTTAGCCTGTCACATACCCAAAATTTTCTTGGCAATGAGAGGGACTACCGCCACCCTTCTACCTCCTAACAGAAAGGGGCACATCCATCCTTCTGGCAACCCCTTGATGTACCAGGGAAGAGGGGTGGGTGGTGCAGCGCCGAAAAAGTTATCACTTTTTAACTGCATTTCTCAATTGGGGCCTAAATATGGCATTATTTCACAGTTTGAGGTCTAAGTGGGAGGGGGGCAAAAAGGCGTAAAAACACGTCTATATGAGGTAAAAGGTTAAAAGAAGACATTTAAAGTTTTTTTGGTTGCCATGACAACTAGAGTACTGCATGGAATTAAGTTCTTTGAACAATTTTTAAAGGTGACCACCAAAGGAAGATTTCTGTGAAGTTTTGATGAAATTGGCTTAGCGGTTTATAAGGAGATGTCATTTAAAGTAAAAGTTTACGGACGCCGGACGAAATGCAATCACAAATGCTCACCCTGTCACTTTGTGACAGGTGAGCTAAAAACAAACCAAAACTAAAATCATTGTTTACCATTATAAGCCTGGGCAATGAAAATGCAAGTGTCAACCAGTATAGTTTCATCAATAATTATTATTAACATATATATGTGTAGTATGGTTAAGTTATTAAAGCAATGAAAACATAATAATGGTGCAAAAAATATCACTGTAAAAGTTTAAACAAATAATTCATATTTTAAGCCAATAACGTTTTATCCTTGTTAAAACAATATTTGGTTATATTCAAACATTTCTTAATTAGACCCTGGAATCTAAACCATTTTATTTTTTTTTTAATTTATATAATTATTTATTTATTTTTGCTCTTCTGTGTATCGGCATATTGATTTGTTCCTTTGACCAAGACATTGTAAACATTTACTGAAATTCACAGGTCATGTACACTGAAATAATAAAATAAACAGCACTATCACACCTTCGGGCACATGTTTTGTGTCAAACCGGTGTTATCAGTGTCTTTACAACCAATAACTTGTAGAAAAAATAGAACCTGTTCTAATTTTCTTGTAAGAAATTATCTTCATGGATGTCACATATTTTCCCTTTAAAAAACATTCAAGTAGGGTGTCTACATTATCCAATACAAGAGAATATGATACTATCATTCAAGACTTGGATAGGTGTAGACACAGCCTTACTAAGAAATACATTCATTGTCTATAATTAATGAAATGTACTTTGTGACAGCTATTGTTTTGCAATTATTCATGTAGTCCTTCATTAAAAGACATCGCATTTTCTTTTTTTACAATGTGACGTTTATCGTAAAATGCGATTTGACCCATGTAAAAAATAGCTTCAAATCCGCGGTTATGTCTAAATATTTGGACTAGTATTCATGGTACTTTTATCTCACCTGACATTTGAACTAAGTCCACTGAGGCTTCATGGAATGGCAAATACGCATTACATTGAGGGTTCTATTGATAAATGCCCTATGAACACATCTGTTGATGTTTTTAAATTCAAAATTTCACACTGTTAAGTTATGCTTCAGGTGTGTGCTATGACTCCAGGTATAGAAGCTGAATAAAAAAGATTCACATGTATCTGTAGAAAAATATAAAAACAGCTTAGTAGAGTTCCCAGATACAAAATCATGGGTAACAATGCTTAGTTTAATTTGATATAATTATTAAATTGGCAAATAAAAAACATTAAAAAAAAATAGGAATCTGAATGTTACAAACTTTCTATGGAGTATAAATATATGCAATTATATACATTATACAGTGCAGCGTTTTTTTTTCCTTTAATTACTTATACCAGAAAACAGCATAGTTCCCAAATGAAAAAAGACAGCAAAATTCTCAGTTCATATCTGCAAAGAGCCCAAAATAACACTGAAAATTCCTCAAAAATCTGCAAATTTAAAGCTAAACAAACCAGTATAATGGATGCTTCCATGATGATAAGTGATATAAGATAAAAACCGAGTATAACCACAAATTCGATATTCGTACTTTTAGTGTTTCACACCCAAACATTTTTATGTATAATTGTTTTCTTTTTTTTTCAACCTAAAGTAACAAAAAAATCATTGAAGTTAATAATACACGGTTTTTAAGTGTATATTATGCATATTATACATATTTTCCTGGATAAAAGGAACTCCCAATGAATATTTTGCATCTAATGTAAAATTCCCAATTTGAGTTAAACCAAAGCATAATTTTTTAACAATCTGTCCGGTACCGGCACCATTTCCCCAAAGCAGGTGTAAAAACACTGCAGTGTCATGTATAAATAATATAATCATTACACTCCTTGAAATGTACATTTTGGTTGACATGACAAGAATTCCATCCATTTCAGAAATATTTTTTGAATTGAATTATAAAGTAGATAACATGTACATATATACAGTAAATAATTTTTACGAAAATAAATTAAAATACAATTTTTTTTATCGAAACTCAAGAAATTAAATCAATTTATTCATTTACACTTTTGAAGGATATTGAAATTAGTTAAAATCATTAACTCAGGTGAGACATTTGTCTAAGAACTAAAAAAATAAGGTTTGTTTCTGCGACCGGGGCGCAGCCATTTTGTTTTGGCTAAATTATTGACGAATTTATATTACAGTATAAAATCCGTTACGCCCGTACCGGGACCTCTTTTCGTCAGATTATTTTTTTTGGAAGGCTGTAAAAAAGTTTCGGTCGGCGCTAAAATGTTACGGTCGGTCGGGTTACCAGAAAGAAACTTTTTTAAGGCCTAATATGCAACAGATAGTAGTTTCATTGCTTTAATGTTCAAGTTTTGCATCTGACCTTGTGTAAAGCCCTTCTTTAGTTATTATGGGTGTTTCTTTCGTTGAAAGTTTAAAAATTTCTGAAGCCGAGCCATCAAAATGGATCAATTTATATCAAAACATACACAAATATGTAATAATTGATCAAAACTCGACAGGACCTTATGTTAACCCTATGAACGTGTAGCAAATGAAGTAAAAAACTTGTTTAATTGTATGAGACCGTACTTAAGACCTTACTTGGAGGCTAACAACAATTGTATGTATTCCTATGCAAATCATTTTCAAACCTTACTTTATTTGTACATACTCGTCCTACATTCAAGTCTAACTCATACCAACTAATCCCAAGGCACAGTTGGAGCTGAAAACTCATACCAGTCAATCCATGTATAACCAAGTATACCTTATTGGAACCGTGTGTGAGACAAGCTAAACACAGTTATCTACAATCTCAAATTTACAATTTTTAAAAAATCTCCTTTGCGTACTTAAGTCAGGAAAAGTAGGACTCGCAAAATAACATCAAAAAATATCTTAGTCGTCGTTGCTGCAAGAATGCAGCTAGTCGAATTTAATTCAACACAGCCCAATGTCAATTTTGCCAAAAAATTGGTCAATTTGGACCTACATTATTATTATTTATTATTTCAATGCAGCCCAAAAATAGATTTTCAAAATAAATTTTATTAAATTTAATCATTATTTTTCAGATGATAGTTTGCTTTTTTCTTTATAAATGATATATATATTAAGCGATTCTTTCCTTTAATTGTGAATGGGTACGTTACCGTGACAATTTTGAAAAAAATATCCAAATTGTTAATTAAAGAAAGATATGAAAATTTATAGAGATCTATACACAGTCAAACTTTAATCTACCAAACACAGATATGTTATTATCTGTTCTGTTCTCTTTCCTTATAACAGAAAAACACTAATTAAGATTACCATAATGATCCTTTTTCATATATTTCACAAAGAATTTAGCCTACCATTCTTTGATACAATATAACCGATGTTTACCTCGCTATGTCATATTTGTTTGCAATGGATTATGGAATATGTTCTAAAAATTTGACCAGTTCACTGAAAAATGT